GGTTGGGTTAGCTTGCCTGGCCGTGCCCCCTCCCAGCTTCTTGTGCCCCTGGCAGAGCATGGGGAGCTGCAAAGTCCTTGCCTGGTGTCAGCGCTGCTCAGCAACAACTACACCAGCAGTGTGTGATCAGCGTCGTTCTCATCCTAAATCCAAAACACAGCACTGTGCCCGCTACGGGGAAGAAAATTAACTATCCTAGCCGAAACCAGGACAATATATATTTCCCAGGGAAGTCTGTCAGTGAGGGGGTGTGTACCCGCAGAGGTGTGTCTCAGTGTATACATGGACACCCCTGTACATAACACACACAGAGCAAGATCCCGTGCGGATACAAGGACACAAACGCAGACCCATGACCAGATAACCCTGTGTATAAACATATATATATATACACATATGCAAACAGCACACCACACACACCCTTGGGGGGGGGGGGGGGTGTGGGGTGTGTATCGCTCTATAAAAGGGGGTGTGTACACATACAAATATACACACATAAATACACATATATAAGGGGGGGGATGTGTATATATGCACACACACAGAGAGGAGTGTAACACACACACACACACACAGAGTAACAGACACCCTGTGTATATACAGATATGTTGAGTACATACATCCACTGAGTATATACATCCACTGAGGTGCTGCAGCGTGTCCAGGGAAGGGCAGGGGTGTTCAGCCTGGAGAAGAGGGGGCTGAGGGGAGACCTGATCGCCCTACAGCTGCCTGACAGGAGGGGGTAGGGAAGTGGGGGTCGGTCTCTTCTCCCACAAGTGGTAGGATGAGAGGAAATGGGCTCAAGCTGCACCAGGGGAGGTTTAGATTGGATATTAGGAAACATTTCATTACTGAAAGAGTGGCTAAGCTTTGGAACAGGCTGCCCAGAGAGGTGGGGGGGTCCCCATCCCTGGAGGGGTTCAAAACATGGGCAGAGGTGGCACTTGGGGACATGGTTTAGTGGGCATGGGGGTGTTGGGGTGATGGTTGGACGGATGATCTTGGAGATCCTTTCCAACCTTAGTGATTCCTTGTTTTACTTTCATTAAAAACTAATCCAGCCACCAAGCCAGGAAACATGAAATTATGACTCTGCCCTTCATTGGTTTGGTGTGGACTTGGCAGTGTCAGGTTAATGGTTGGACTGGGTGATCTTAAAGGGCTTTTCCAACCTAAACGATTTGATGAGTCTATAGATTCTCTCTCTCACTCTCTGACGCTGATGCTTATAGAAGCACACCCTGCACTGCATGTGTGCATACACACACACACACACACAAAAAACCCCAAAAACAAACCAACCCTGTGTGTATGTACACACAGAGTGACAGATACCCTGTGTGTGTATATACACACACTAAGACATCCCTATTTAGCCATACGCTCTGTCTCTGAACCCCAAGTATATACACATATATTAACAGATACTTTGTGTTGTGTGTAGCAGTCTGTGTGTGTAAAAACACAGCAATGTCTGTTTGTGTGTGTGTGTGTGTATATATATATAAAAAAAAAGCGAGCAGTGTCTCTCTCTGTGTGTATAAACAGCACTGTCTCTGTGTATATGTATTATTAAAAACCAAAACAAAACAAAACAACAAAACCCAGCAGTGTCTGATAGTGTGTGGCTGTATAAACAGCAGCATCTCTGTGTGTGAGGACATATATATGTATACACACAAACACACATATGTATATGTATGTAACACCAGCAGTGTCTGTGTGTGCAGCTGCGCCGAGCAGGGTGTCTGTGTGTCTCTGCATGTACAGACACGGGGTGCGCGTGCATGCGGGGGGTGCACAGCTGTGTCTATGGGGGTGCCTGCGCGTGGCTCCGTGCATTCCCGCAGTGCGGGGGGTACGGATGTGTCCCCGCTGCGGGGCCGTGTGGCCGTGGGCTGTGAACACAGCGGTGTCTGCGTGCACACGGGGAGGGGGTTGGGTGGCTGGACAGAACTGGGTGCGTGGCTCTTCGCCTGTGCATCCCTGTGTCTGTGCATCCCCATGCGTGCCCGTGCATCCCCGTACCCGTGCATCCCTGTGCCCTTGCATCCCCATGCCCTTGCATCCCTGTGCCCTTGTATCCCCATGCCCGTGCATCCCCGTGTCCGTGCGTCCCTGTACCCATGCATCCTCGTGTCTGTGCATCCCTGTGCCCGTGCATCCCCATGCCTGTGCATCCCCGTGTGTGTCTGTGCGTCCCTGTGCCTGTGCATCTGTGTCTGTGCATCCCCGTGTCTGTGCATCCCCGTGTCCTTGCATCCCCATGCCCGTGCCTCCCCGTGTCCGTGCATCCCTGTGCCCTTGCATCCCCGTGCCTGTGCATCCCTGTGTCTTTGCATCCCCGTGCATCCCTGTGCCCTTGTATCCCTGTGCCCATGCATCCCCGTGCCTGTGCATCCCTGTGTCTTTGCATCCCTGTGTCTTTGCATCCCTGTGCCCGTGCATCCCTGTGCCCGTGCATCCCCATGCCCGTGCATCCCTGTGTCTTTGCATCCCCGTGCCCGTGCATCCCTGTGTCTTTGCATCCCCGTGC